TGTTTCTTTTAGACCCAATAAAGACACTAAGTGGTAGAGTAATGTCTATAAATTGGCAACCAAGAGAAGCAACTATCCAGAAAGCCCAGTCTTCAAGACTGGTTACTGCGCAATTCAGAACTGGCATAATTCATTCAACAAACATGTGCTGGGGGCCCTACTGCTCATTGGGCACCACATGTAAAAAATAGTATGAGTTTCTCATTTAGACACAGTTTTAAAAGAATATATTAAATTACCACAGTTTTTCTTTCCTAGACTTCCTACTCTCCTCTTTTCCAGTCTTCTTTCAGTCTCTTCAGGGCTTACGCTGCAAATAAGGACTGGAAAGAAAACTTGGTATAGGGCCAGAGAGATTTGACATTAGGGCCAGCGCCTCCCTTGTGCTGAGTGATCCCCACTGCAGCTGTGTCCCTAGTGATGAGATAGAGGAAGGGGGGGCACAATGTCTGTATCTAATGACCAACCTGTGGTGCTCAGCTAGGTTCCTTGTGAGAGCTTCCCCACCTGTAGGGAGGGAGCAGGGGGTAGGGGTGGGGAATCAGTAGGATTGAAGAGTAAGCAAGTTCAGATGAATTACCTGACAAGGTGTTCTGACTATTTGGGGTAACTATAGAATCTAAGTATTACCCACATACTTGCAGGGTCACCACAGCATGAAGCACTCCCCAAGGAAGGCTCCTGTGCCACTTTGCTTCAACTTTGGGGGTTATAGGTCCCTTGGCACATCAGGCTTAGATGGGTTGGCTGAATATAGTGGGGCAGGAGAGAAGACTGCCTAGAGTTGCTATGGTGATAACGATGGCCATCTGGTCCTAAAGCTAGCATCACGGGGCTTGGGGTTGGGGGGGCTCCTTCAAATACCCTACTCTTGCAACTTTTGGTTATGAGTTGTACAATGCACGTATTATGTTAGTGAACACCTGACTGATAGAAAAGACTCGAGGAAAGAGAGCTCCTATGAGGATTTTTATTTCTATCACTATCATCATCACTATCACCCCCTTCCGCATGAAGGACAGTGTTCTAACTGCCGGTCCTAGTTATTCCCAGCTGAATCTACAAATTTAAATTCTCGATTTTCTAATTTTCCAGGTAAGATTATGCAAGCAAAAGAGAAGCGATAGCATTTACCAATGGCTTGAAGATTGTAAATAATATGCAGCTCCCTCCTCCTCCAAGCTACACTAGCCCAAGACAAAGAGAATAACACAGTGTCTCATAGCTGTGGCAGCCATCGTGCTCTTAAGTGGATTCATCCCAAGATGTACTATACTTGTTATTTTTATTTTTTTTTATTTTTAAGCCTGGGAAATTGGGGATATTTCAAGCAATCAGCTAACTTACCCTCAAAAGGAAAAAATCAACTACTGCACAGACAGTGGGTGGATCAGAATGTTGAGAAATAGTCACCATACGAAGAAATGCTTAGACTTAGACATTTATAAATAATTAACTTATTGTTCTTTGTCTGCCTCTTTCTTCTCCCTTTCTCTACCTCCCACCCAAGTCGAAACAAGGATTCTATTACCCAGTGAAGTTTGAGTATTGTGAAAGAAAGAGCACAAGAATTGATGGTGCCTATTTCATTTTCTTTGAAACCTGTTATGGTTCTGTAAACAGATCCTGTAAGAATCACCTGTTGGATGCATTGACATCCCAAACAAAGATGCCTTCTTGAAAATTTATTAAAATATATTTCAATAAACTGAAGGACTCTGAGAATGTGACAATCTAGGATTCAGTCAGTTACAATGTTAGAATTCCCACCATAGATTCAATTTTATATTTTAAAACTTCTGTATTATTTCATCACACTTTTATATTAGTAATGAACTTATTTTTTATTCTCCATGTTCTGTGATGTCAGGTATTATTTTCATACTACAGAAGAAACATAAAAACTGATGAATCTGGGGAAAGTCACATATTTAGAAGACCTAGAAAGTTTTATTTTATTCACCCTTCATTTATTTACTGGATACCCAGTAATTACCAAGGGCTATGCGAGGCCCTGGGTTTTGAGGTGGGGGAAGGATCTGTTCTGGACTTGAATGGCCACTTCAGTGTGTTTATTAGAACTAGAAACTCTGAATGTGGTTTGTTATCCATCATTTCAAGCAAGTTACTGCAAAAAAAAAAAAAAAAAGGCCCGAGAGTTTCAATATATGTTCAGACAGCTGTGCACACTTAAGGGGACAGATGTGGTTTCAACAATTCTCTGATTGTCCGAATTCTTTCTTAACACCTGTGTTAGAGAATGCTGGCCCACCTTTATGAGCATGAGATCATCTTAACATTTTCTGCCCGTAATTTTGAATAAAGGGCCAGCCAACCCCAGGTGGGTGGGAATTGACCTTTTTTTATGGCCACCTGCACTTGAACTCATTCATCTCCATCAAGTTTAATAAGCTGAGGGAAAAAGGAAGAATCCATTAATGGAACTGAAAGCTTTCTCTTCAAAAGGAACTTGTTAAGAAAACAAAGTGATCTTAAAATACACACACACACAAACCAGATTTGGCACAACATAAAAAATAATAAAACTGAAAAAAATTTTCAGACTTTAGTGCTTATTAAACATTTAAAATAAATCCAATGAAAAGAGTTCAGGTGTGACTTTGTGGCAAAATCAAGAGATGTTTTCTTAAATTTAAAACAAAATATTTCAAAGAATTTTTTAATTCCGTTCTTATTATCTGGAAAGTGAGTATGGTAATTATCCAAGTAAAGTAGATTTGGCTTTTTTTTTAATGTATGTATGTATACATTTATTTATTTACTTACTTATTTTTAAAGATTTTATTTATTTATTCATGAGAGACATAGAGAGAGAGAGAAGCAGAGACACAGGCAGAAGGAGAAGCCGGCTCCATGCAGGGAGCCAGACATGGGACTTGATCCCGGGGACCCCAGGGTCACACCCTGGGCCAAAGACAGAGGGGCTCAACTGCTGAGCCACCCAGGCTGCCCAAAAACATGTATTTATTTTTGACTTACATGCAATAAAATTCACTTTTTGGTGTACATTTCAGTGAGATTTGACATTAATCTGAAAGTTTCTTCATACCACCATTATGTAGTCTACCCCTCTCCCACCCTCAATCCCCCAGCAACCACCATTTTTTTAAAAGAATGAAATGGACATGTAATTATGCAGTATGTAGTCTTTGGGGTCCAGCTTCTTCCACACAGCATAATTCATTTGAAATTCATGGTATTATATCATCAGTATATTCCTTTGTATTGCTGAGTAGCATTCCACTCTGTTCATATACCACAGGCTGTTTATCCATCCCCTGGTTGGAGAACATCTGGGTTTTTTCCAGTTTGGTGTAATTATGAACAAAGCTGTTATAAATATTTGCATGTATGCATTTATTTGAAATGTTTTCTTTTTTTAAGATTTTATTTATTCATGAGAGAGAGAGAGAGAGACAAAGAGGCAGAGACACAGAGAGAGGGACAGAGGCACAGGCTCCCTGCAGGGAGCCCGATGTGGGACTCAACCCTGGGTCTCCAGGATCATGCCCTGGGCTGAAGGTGGCGCTAAACCACTGAGCACCCAGGCTGCTGTATTTGAAATAAGTTTTCAATTCTCTTGGGTAAATTACTAAAAGGGGAATTGCTGGGTCAAGTGTTAAGTGTATTTTTAACTTGATAAGAAACTGCCAAACCACCTTCCAAAGTGGCTCTACCATTGGTGTTCCCTCAAGGAATACGTGAAAAGTTCAAGTCTCTGCATCTTCATCAGCATTGATATTGCCATGTTTTATTTTTTTTTAATTTTGGACGTTCTAATATTTGTGTAGTGGTAGGCTTTACCTTAATCAAACATTTTTCTTAAAAGACTCTTTAGTAAGTAGGAGTTACAGATTGACACTCTCACCCTGGAACTTACTCTTGGCCCTGTCTGTTGGCTTTTCCAAATATATCTGACCTACCAGAGTAGCTGACAGCCTCAAGTACATGGACTCATGGGCCGAAATAACACAACACTTAAAAGATATAATTACCTAAAAGAAATCCAACAGCTTAACAGTATATACCATCTGAAGCATAAGTATTAGAACAGACCAACCAAAACTTTAAAATAACCACAATAAGTATATCGAAGGAGACAAAGGAGGTATTAGGCAATGTGAAAAAAAGAGACTACAAAAAGGAGTAAGTGGCAAATATTAGTTTTCCCAAATATAATAGTTAAAATAAAATCTCCAATACATGAAATAAGAGTAAGGTGGACAAGGCTAAAGAAGGAATCAGTGAGTTTAAAAGACAAAATGAAGATAATGATGCAGCTTGTATTTTCAGGATTAGAGATGTGTACCAAAAGGGCCAGGCTTGGAGTAGTAAATTAATACATGGTGAATTTTCATTTTTCCACCTTAAATTCCAAATGCTCTTTGATAACTTCATCAAGAATAGTATTTCCAAATGACCTAATAACTTTGATCTTATGACTTTAGTAACGGATGCACACTGTCAGGTACTGCATTTCACTATTTCCCTTTTCTTCTTTCTTCTTGCTTTCTTTCCCAGTTCTCATCAGAATATGCCACCCACATCTGTATGTCCTGGGCCTGTGTGGGACATGGAAAGGCAGGAGCGTATGAGTTTCTGAAGTCAGAAAGAACTGGGTTGAGTCCCATAAACTTGGGTAAATAAATTAACCTCATTAAGTCTCAGTTTTCCCATCTGTAAAAAGGGCATAATATTACCTGACAGGATTCTTCAGGATGACTAAATTGAATAACAAATACCAAATGGGCCCTGGCACACAATAGATGTTCAATAATTCACTCTTCTATACTTTTTAAAACCTGTATCATTCCCAATCCCAGATACTGAAATTCATTTAACTTGGGGAAAATTACTCCAACTTCACAACTAGGGAGACACCCTATGAGGCATATTCACTTAGGGTAAGTTATCCTTGGGATAGCAACCTACTGACAAATTCACACGGGGGTATAATTTATTGATATGTCTCTTTCCAGAAAATAGGGGTCTATTAAAAGAGAGAGCAAGAGCGAGTGATGAGAGTACTGATGTCTGAAGAAAAGAATAGAAAAATAGAAGGAGGATATGCATAAAAGAAGAGAACTGAGTCCATCAAAAGTGAGTACTACCTATCTTAACTTTTTCTCTGAGAATGGCTATGTGTCTCAGGATCTAGCTTATGAGGCAATTCTTGTGTGACCTTGGTCTTTTGGCAGCATATGATGTTCATCAACCATATGATAAATGAATCTGTGCTATGTAATAAGGCTTTTCTCTTACTGCCAATAATAAACACGGGCTTTGTTCTGAAGGTTCTGCTATGACAAGTTGTGTTATAGTAAAATTTCATGGTGGTACACAAAAACGTTCCCCACCTGAACTATAGTCCAAGTGCATTTAGAGCAAATCCACACAATTCCTGGCCCAGGTGTCAAGTGATGAAAAGGTAAATTGGAGTTCCCATTTGGTGAAAATCCAAGCATTTGTCTTGCCTGCACATTTATGTCAGAGGGATGCGAATTTAGTACTGACATCTATGTATACTGTGACTCCGGTAATAATAGGCTGTCCATTGACCACTTGTATCTACGCTGTAGCTAGTGCTGCTCCAGCCCCCTCAAGGACCTGAAATGTTTTCAAAAAAGTCATTTTTTCCACAATGCAGGAAGCACTGCATTTATTGACTTCTTAAATAATATCTAGATATAGCATTTTTTTTTAATTTTTTTTAATTTTTATTTATTTATGATAGTCAGAGAGAGAGAGAGAGAGAGAGAGAGAGGCAGAGACACAGGCAGAGGGAGAAGCAGGCTCCATGCACCGGGAGCCCGATGTGGGATTCGATCCCGGGTCTCCAGAATCGCGCCCTGGGCCAAAGGCAGGCGCCAAACCGCTGCGCCACCCAGGGATCCCTAGATATAGCATTGATATTAATTTTAAACTATGGCTTTCAGATCAGAGCAGTGGAATTCTTAGTGGAATATTTCTGCGCTGTGTTCTCTCTGCTGAATTTCCGTATTCACACACTTGCTTGTTTTATCATTTAACCGTTCTGTGCGTAGGGCATTCATTTCTCATCATGTTAGAAGTGATTTGGGGGAAAGAAAAAAAAAAGCAACTGCCAGGTAAAAATTTCATCAATGTTATGAGTTCCTGGAAGGCAGAAAGTACATCTTATTTATCATAATGTTCCTTTCATCACTGAGGGAGAGTTATTCAACACCCAGCATGTTTCAGCCATTGTATTAGGTGTCCAAGATCCAATGACAAGACAACTTCATTGCCTGCCAGTGAGAACAGGGTACATCTGAAACTGCTGGTATATCTGGCAAAATTGCAAATGTCTAGGCTGCCCCCAAAGCTACTGAATCAGAATCTGTGGTGAGTGTCCTGGGAATTATACCATTTCTTGTGGGTTAGAGATTGTGTCATGTTCCTCATTTTATTCCCAGTGCTAAGCACAAATCCTGAGACAGAGTAGACATATGATACTCATTAGTTAACTTCAATCATCCCACAAATATTTAAGTGCTTTCTATGGGCCAGACATTGTTCTAGACAAAAATCCCCATTTTCATGCAGTTTGCATGCAGGAAGAGGGAAGAGGAGACAATAAGCAATAAACAATAAACACAATGAGGTAGAGCAGTCAACTGTATCCAGATGCCCGGATAGGCCCCCTTGAGAGTGTGCTGAGCAAGGACTTGGAGAAGGTGAGAAAGTGAGTCTAGTAGATATTTGGGGGAAAATCCCAGGAAGAAAGGAGAGGTAGGGCAAAGGTATCAAGTCAGTGCCAAGCACACTCTAGAGTAACAGTGAGTACCTTCATGGGCCAGGATCAGAGTGAGCAGAGGGGAGAGGAGATCAGAGAGGCAGGAGGGGACAGATGATGTGCCATCTTGTAGGCCACTGTAAGGACTTCAAGTCAAATTAGAAAAAGAATTAATGATTGGATGAGCTAATGGATGAAGTTGTTACAATGTCACATTATAAGAACTAAGAAATTCAGAGGTGCTCAGAGGGGATCCCATTGTTGGAGGCCTTCAAATATTGATTTAATGGGAGATACCTTCTTTAGCAATTAGAAGATGCATTTTGCTATCATCAGTCTTGCCATGAGCTAGTGAAAATTAAAAACAGTTCTAATAAAAACTCTGCTCTTCCTATTTTCTTTTTTCCTTAATTGGTCCACTATTTTTAAGGGGAAAAAAAATCCTATTCTTGCTTTTCCTAAGAAAATGAATTAACCAACACTGCAGAGATAGAATAAAAGCCTGTGTTCTTTCAATCGAGAATTCTTTCCATTAGCTCACATTATCTCAAGATACCCAGAGGGCCTAACAAGTCAGTTCTATGATTCTGAGGGCCATAAACACCATAGTGGCCCAAAGTGATAGCCTTATACTCACTATCTCTACCAAGTAAAAAAAAAAAAATTTAAAAGGACCCTGCATAGTGTTTAGTGCATCGATGTTTTCTAAGGTTATAGTACAAATTCTTCCTATAATATCAGATATCATTCTCTCTCTTTTTAAAATTTATTTATTTTAGGGAGAGGGAGAGAGACAATGGAGGGGAGGAGGGGCGGACAGAGAGGGGAGAGAGAATCCTCAAGCAGACTCCCAGCTAAACACAGACTCCCATGACCCTGAGCTCATGATGACCTGAGCCAAACCAAGGGTCAGACACTTAACCGACTGAGCCACCCAGGCATCCCCCCAGATAAGTTCTTTTAAAAAAAATTATTAATTTATTCATGAGAGAGACAGAGAGGCAGAGACACAGGCAGAGGGAGAAGCAGGCTCCATGCAGGGAGCCCGATGTGGGACTCGATCCCAGGCCTCCAGGATCACACCCTGGGCTGAAGGCGGCGCTAAACCGCTGAGCCACCCAGGCTGCCCACTATCACTTATTGTGATCCTATTAGGACTATGATATTGTTAATAACTGTTAAAAAACTTTTGATAAAAGTCAGCATTTATGCCTAATATGAATAATATAAATAATATAATGTAATTTACAATAAAAATAATATAAATAGGCGAGGAGGGGCAAGATGGCGGAAGAGCAGGGTCCCCAAACCACCTGTCCCCACCAAATTACCTAGATAACCTTCAAATCATCCTGAAAATCTACGAGTTTGGCCTGAGATGTAAAGAGAGACCAGCTGGAATGCTCCAGTGAGAAGAGTCCGCGCTTCTATCCAGGTAGGAAGACGGGGAAAAAGAAATAAAGAAACAAAAGGCCTCCGAGGGGGAGGGGCCCGCGAGGAGCCGGGCTGAGGCCGGGGCGAGTGTCCCCAGGACAGGAGAGCCCGTCCCGTCCCGGAGGAGCAGGAGCTGCACCAACCTTCCCGGGCGGGCGGAAAGGGGCCCGCAGGGAGTTGGAGCAGGACCCAGGAGAGCGGGGATGCCCTCGGGCTCCCGGGGACACTAACAGACACCTGCTCCCCGGGAGAGTGCGCCGAGCTCCCTAAGGGCTGCAGCGCGCACCGCGGGGCCGGAGCAGCTCGGAGGGGCTCGGGCGGCGGCTCCGCGGAGGGGGCTGCGGGGCGGGAGCGCGAATCCACCAGCGCAGGCCCCGGAGCACAGGGCGCCGGGACACAGCCCAGGATCCGGCCTCCCCCGGGACAGGCAGAGGCCGGGAGGGCCCAGGACAGCGAGGACGCTCCTGCCCCGAGCTGAGCAGATCAGCGGCCCCGCCCCGGAGCCTCCAGGCCCTGCGGACGGAGAACCGAGAGCCCTGAGCCCGTAGTTCCTGCGGAGGCTGAATCCAGGCTTCCAGAGTTGCCATAGCAACTGCGACTGTTCCTCCTGAGACCTCACGGGGTAAACAACCCCCGCTGAGCCCTGCAGCAGGCAGGGGCAGAGCAGCTCCCCCAAGTGCCAACACCTGAGAATCAGCACAGCAGGCCCCTCCCCAAGAAGACCAGCTGGACGGACCAGTTCCAGGGGAAGTCAAGGGACTTAAAGTCTACAGAAATACTCCCCCGTGTTTTTTTTTCTTTTTTTCTTTTTTTCTTTTTTCTTTTCTTTTTGATTTCTGATTGCTTCCCCCACCCCCTTTTTTTCACCTTTCTTTCTTTTTCTTTCCCTTTTTCTTCTCTTCTTTCCTTTTTCTTTTTTCTTTTTCTCTTTTCTTTCCTTCTCTCTCTTTCTCTCCTTTTCCCAATACAACTTGTTTTTGGCCACTCCGCACTGAGCAAAATGACTAGAAGGAAAACCTCACCTCAAAAGAAAGAATCAGAAACAGCCCTCTCTCCCACAGAGCTACAAAATCTGGATTACAATCCAATGTCAGAAAGCCAATTCAGAAGCACTATTCTACAGCTACTGGTGGCTCTAGAAAAAAGCATTAAGGACTCACGAGACTTCATGACTGCAGAATTTAGATCCAATCAGGCAGAAATTAAAAATCAACTGAATGAGATGCAATCCAAACTAGAAGTCCTAACGACGAGGGTTAACAAGGTGGAAGAACGAGTGAGTGACATAGAAGACAAGTTAATGGCAAAGAGGGAAACTGAGGAAAAAAGAGACAAACAATTAAAGGACCATGAAGACAGATTAAGGGAATTAAATGACACCCTAAGGAAGAAAAACCTACGTTTAATTGGGGTTCCCGAGGGCGCCGAAAGGGACAGAGGGCCAGAATATGTATTTGAACAAATCCTAGCTGAAAACTTTCCCAATCTGGGAAGGGAAACAGGCATTCAGATCCAGGAAATAGAGAGATCCCCCCCTAAAATCAATAAAAACCGTTCAACACCTCGACATCTAATAGTGAAGCTTGCAAATTCCAAAGATAAAGAGAAGATTCGTAAAGCAGCAAGAGACAAGAAGTCCCTGACTTCCATGGGGAGGAATATTAGGGTAACAGCAGACCTCTCCACAGAGACCTGGCAGGCCAGAAAGGGCTGGCAGGATATATTCAGGGTCCTAAATGAGAAGAACATGCAACCAAGAATACTTTATCCAGCAAGGCCCTCATTCAAAATGGAAGGAGAGATAAAGAGCTTCCAAGACAGGCAGGAACTGAAAGAATATGTGACCTCCAAACCAGCTCTGCAAGAAATTTTAAGGGGGACTCTTAAAATTCCCCTTTAAGAAGAAGTTCAG